TCCCTCTATAGTAGAGTTTAATGGGTTGTTCTTGTAGGAGTCTAGAAGACCAGAATGCTGAGAGGAAGGTGAACACCATGAGGCTTCAGAAGGGCACAGGAAAGGTTTGGGATGCATCTCAGTGGTAGAACACCGACCTCCACGCACAGGGCTCTGTGTTCAACCTAACACTGGAGAAGCAGAAACTGACAGAGAGGAACAGGGATTCTACTGGGAAGGGTGTTAGAGGCAAAGAATGTGGCTGCCTTCTGCCTGTGTCCTGAGAACTTGTGTTAGGCTGAATTAGAAAGCGATGGCTTGATTTCTTTGGTCCAGGAAATTTTAAGACAGCATTCAGTGTGTGTCAGGGCTGCTGCTCACTGTTTTTGTCCAGATCTTCAGTGAAAAAGAGCAAAAATAGATTAAAAGCTGTGAGGATTGGTGAAGAAACATGTGTGTACTTAATGTTATGGCAAACAGGAAAAGAGCCCTCAAGAAATACCAATTCATTAAAGGCTCTAATGTATAGGGATATAGACCCATTTGAAAGGAACAGTCTATGTATACAGAAGCCACAGCCACCTCTGGTCCTGGGTGGCCAGGCTGCATCCTACTTGGCAAGCTCATCTAACTAGTACCGGTTTCATGGGCATGAAAGGTATAAGTGTTAGGATACCATGGAGATTTATATTGGGAGTTTAGGGGGCTCTGAGACCAAGTGATATGTGGTCAGGTCCTGAGGGATCATTACATGAAGCTGTGAAGACGAAACCCTGAGTGGAAATGTAGCCCCGGGAGGCTGAAGAGGCCAGAATCGTAGGAGGCCTAAGGACAGTTGCAGACACAGGGAGAAAATGGCCTGAGAGCGAGGCTACCCGTGCTTCAGAGGGCAGAGACAGAGCCCCTTGCAGCCCAGATGATGTCATCAGGAGCTGCAGGTGGACATGGGACTTCAGGGTTTGGCATTTTCTTTGTCTGGCTTGGTCTTGCTTTGGTCTGAACATTTCTTGCTGTGCCCCCAAATCCTTCCTTTAAAATGGAGAGGTTTATTCTGTGCCGTTGTGTGTTGGAACTATATAACTTTTGACTTTATAGGAGCTCACAGTGAAGAGATTGCCTTGACTTTCAGAAGAGATTAAAATTTGGAATGTTAAAGTTTTGGAACTAGTAAAAGACTCGAGATTTTTTGAAACCGAACAGAACTTGTTTTTTAATTATGAGATGGCTATGAGCCTATGATAATGGGAGTGGAAAATAATGGCCTAAAAAGGACATGTTTGGCCGGGCGGTGGTGGCACACGCCTTTAATCCCAGCCCCCGGGAGGCAAAGGAAGGTGGATCTCTGTGAGTTCGAGGCCAGCCTGGTCTACGGAGTGTGCGCCAGTACATCCAGGACTACACAGAGAAACCCTGTCTTGGAAAAACCAAAAAAAAAAAAAAAAAAAGAATGACATGTTTGGAAATCAAGTTGATGAGTGGTGAATTTGTGACTGCTTATATTGTCTACTAGTTCTAAAATCACCCTGGAGACAAATCTCTGGGCGTGTCTGTGAGGGATTTTCTAGATTACGTTAATTGAGGTGGGAAGATGTAGTTTTTTGGTTCTGGGTTTTTTTGCTTTTTTTTTTTTTTAACTATTTGGGGGCCTCTCACCCAGCTCCCAAATAAATATACGAAGACTTGTTCTTAATTATGAATGCCCAGTCTTAGCTTGGCTTGTTTCTAGCCAGCTTTTCTTTCTTGTTTTGTTTTGTTTTTTCAAGGCAGGCTTTCTCTGTGTAACAGTCCTGGCTGTCCTGGTTCTCACTCTGTGGAGAAAACTAATAATGCAAACACCTGCTGTATATCAGATAATATTCTAGGTGAAGGGGATACTCCGGTGAGCCAAACAGGAGAATTCTTTCAATAATTGGAAGAGTCAGATTACAGCCAAGGTAAGTAATTATGCTCAGTTTTGTCTTTCTAAAAAGTGGATGCTTATAAACCACCCCGAGTTTAATATTTTCAAATATAAATCCTAACTTGGCTATGTTAATATGACTAAAACAGCTCATACTCAGCCATTGCTGTTTAGAGACATTTTCCACTCTTCCCCTTTCAATGTTCTATTTTATTCCGTTTTTGTTTTTGAGAAAATTAATTGACATGTGTAACCGGAAATATTTATGGGGTAGAGTGTGGCACACTGATGGTCAGATGGGTTAATGGTCGTATCCATTACTGAAAACACTGACACTGGTATTGGGAACATGCAAAATCCTCTCTACTGATTATTTTGTAATGTTTGAGTAATTCTTGTCAACGCTATTGGAAGGAATTCACCCATTACCCATCTCCTTTCCAAATTCCCCCTCCCGTCTCCCTTCCCAGGCTCTGAAAGCTATTATTCTTTTCTGCTTTTTAAGTTTTCAAGATAGAATTTTATTATATAGCCCAGGCTGGCCCCAAACTTCTGACCTCCCTGCTCAGCCTCCCAGGCACTGAATTACAGGCATGTCCTCTTCTCGGCCCTTCCCCCATCCCCCTCTTCTCCCTCCTGTGGCTCCTCCCTCCTCTAGACAATGTCTCACTGTAGCCCAGGCTGGCCTTAAATTGCCGTAATCCTTCTGCCCCAGCCTCCCAAATGTTAGGATTATATGTATGAGCCAGCACACTTCATCTCTATTCTCTACTTCTGTAGGCTCTTTTTAAGGTTCTATATTTAAGTGAGAACATATAATGTTTGTTTTTCTATGTCTGGCTTATCTCATTTAGCATAATATCTTCCAGTTCCCTCCAAGTATCTACAAATGACAGACTGTTCTTTTTTTCCTTTTCTTGAAAATGTTTTCATAATATATATAAACACTACATACATATATTTCTTAATATATATTGAAATACAGTCTCTCTACACAGCCCTGACTGTCCTGGCCCTCACTATGTAGACCAAGATGGCCTAGAACTAACAGAGACCCACCTTCTTCTGTCTCCATAGTTCTGGGATTAAAAACGTGTGCCACCACACCCAGCTCATACAATATGCTTTTCTCACGCTTTCCCCTCTCCGATACTTTCATTATTCTTATGACTAAATGCTAGGCACTAAATTTCCCACCAGCTTTTCATCGGATGATAGAACCGTAGATTAATTCGGTATCGTGGCTACGGTGAACAGTGCTACAACCGCCATGGAATGCAGATGTCTGCACAGTACCTTCACTGCCTTTCCATGTAAATCACGGGGGATTTCTGGGTCATATTCTAGTTAATAGTTTAAAATATTATGGCTGGAGAGATGGCTCAGAGGTTAAGAGCACTGGCTACTCTTCCAGAGGTCCTGAGTTCAATTCCTAGCCACCATATGGTGGCTCACAACCATCTGTAATGAGATCTGACGCCCTCTTCTGGCCTGCAGGGACACATGCAGGCAAAACACTGTCTATGTAATAAATAAACAAATCTTTTTTAAAAAAGTTTAAAATATTTTGTAAAATAGCTAAGTATGAATTACACTTATGACAGAATGAAACAGATTATAATCACTTGTCCATGTGCCTCAACTTTGAGTGTGTGTGGCCTGCATGTATGTGTGTGCACCACACGAGTGCCTGGTGCCTTTGGAGGTCAGAAGACCTTAAAATAACCAATAAGTTATTTTAAGAGTTGGGTTTTTTTGTTGTTGTTTTTGCTTTTTGAAGGGCTCTTTGCAGACAACCTAACTTCCTTTAGTATCACATCAGGGAGCCCTGGCTGTTCCTTTCCTGGTTCTGTTATTTAATATATTTGTGCAAACACTGTTTCTACACAGTGTCTGTTTCACATGCCCTTGAGCCTCTTACTCAATGTTTTTGGCAGGCAGTGGTAACTGTTGCTAGGTCGATTCTTGCATTAGAACTGGAAAGGACAGGTAAAGCATAAGGAATTTCCGTGTCTGAAATCCGAGATGCCCTGAAATCCAAAACATTCTGGCACTGTGTGTTGTCAAATTGAAAAACTCTACAGATGGGGACTGGGTGGTTAAGAGCCCTGGCTGCTCTTGTGGAGGATGCAGGTTCGATTCCCAACACCCACATGGCCACTTATAGCCGGCTGTAACTCCTGGTTTCTGGAGCTCTAATGCCCTCTTCTGGCCTCTGCTGGTACCACAGACATACATACAAGCCAACGTTCACACACATAATGGATTTTTTTTAAAAAGGAAAAAAAGCCACAAATAACACTTTATGAGGAATTTCGGTCAAAATGCAGTCACTTGTGGTGACATACATCTTTGATCCCATTACTTGGGGAAAGGTAGTCAGAACTCTGCATTTGAGGCCAGCCTGGTCTACAAGGGAGTCCCAAACCGGCCTCCGATGGACTGAACCTCGAACAGCCGGACAAAGGCATATATTTATTGATTGTTGCACAGAGTTTTTTTTTTTGGCAAACAAGTTCCTCACACTGAGTCCCTGATCTAATCTGTATGGTTTTCTGAGGGAAAGCATCACACACACACACACACACACACACACGCACGCACGCACGCACGCACGCACGCACACACACCTACTTTAGTCTTTTACTGTGAACTGTTTGCAGTACCCAGTAACCCAAGAGATTCAGGAGTGCCGGAAGTGTCTGGTGACCAAAGCCAGGCAAAGGCTGTAGAAAACCACTCTGTAAATCACAGAAAACAATCACCGATTTCTACCACAATTTCATCGAGGGGAGAGAAAACAACTGTTCTAATGTTCACCCCAGAGACAGTGGCCCTGCTAGGCTCTTACACACCAGCCAGGACTATATGGTGAGGTCCTGTCTCAACAAACAAACCAGGAAAATCAAAAACCAAACCAAACCGAACCAAACAAACCCAAGGGGCTGGAAAGAGTATGGACTTCCCTTGAGGAGCACCCAAATCCCATTCCCAGCACTCATGCGGGGAGGCTCACAGCTGCGGGTAATTCCAACTCTAGGACATCTGCTGTTTAAAAAAAAAAAGTTAATTGGTGCTGGTTACCATTCGAGAAAGGTTATGAGCCATGACAAAACCCAGTATCAGAGCTTTATTAGGAGGAAGGTGTGTGTGTGGGGGGGGGGGACAACAAAAAACCAGGCCTGAGGAAGAAGCATGTGCAGGGGGGGGGGGAGAGGGGGGAAGAGGGATGAGGGGAGAGAGAGGGAGAGGGAGAGGGAGAGATGGTGGGGGAAGAGAGAGCAGAGGAGTGAGAGGAGGAGTCTGTGTCCAGCTTTTTAAGGATTCCCATGCGCATGCGCAGGTAGGCTTATGGCGCTATGCCATGCATGTGCTGATTGCATGACTGTGCTGCACACATTTGAATGATCACGCAGCACACTGATGCTGCAAGACGTAAGACCCCTTACTCAGCTGCTGAACTGCGCATGTGCGGTCATGCAGCTGGAGTGGCGGCAGAATCCTAACGTTCTAAACTTTTGCTTATTATAAAAAAGCGGGTGAACAGGAATAGGGGCGTCGTTTCTCCTGGAAAATCTGCTTCCAGCTGACCTGGTGGGCATCAGTTGACTCTTGGGGGGTAGGGAAGGGGCCACCGAGGTAACCAGCCGTCCTGGGGTCCTCTGCTGCTTTTCGGCGCTGTCCAGGTGGATTCAAGCCGGTTCCAGAGCTCGCTGACCTGTCCAGGTGGGTTTTTCTGGAGCTTGGAAAAATTTTGAACATATTAAGAAGCAGCCATGAGAAAATTAAAGTCTTGAGCTAGTGACCATTGTAGTGTTTGGTATTCTACTTACATTGGTTAGTGTGTGTGTGTGTGTGTGTGTGTGTGTGTG